TTGGACCCATGTTTGACCCTAGGACTAGTTAGTCCACTGTTCTGAATGTGGCCAGGGTGAGACCACAGTGTTGGCTTGTTGTTAGATATTATACCTTATGGTCCATACTTTGATTTATCTGTGCTTTGATGGATTTGATTTATTATTTTATAATACTACAGGAATAGAGCTCTGCTTGATAATTACATGAAAATTTTTGTGGGGAAGGTAGTCACCAGGAAACTCGACACAGGGGAAAGTAAAGATAATTATGGGATAAGGCTAATAAATCATAATAACATTATGAAAATCAACTGAAAAGAAAGATGTAATTATTAAAATTGGTTATCATTTTATTCTTGATTGACCAAGTTTATGGGCCAGCCGTGTTACCCTGGAGTCGATCTAATATGTTCCTGTGCTAAAAAACAGTTGTTGTTCATAGCATGAGGTCAAGATATCTTGTTTAGATTTTTTTCCTTGTTTAATAAAGGATTCTTATATGAATTGACTGTGGCAGGTTTTACGTGTGTAGGCACTTAGCTGACATGATTAGGTCTTACATTACCCTTATTTTGGGGGGATAACATTTCAAGGAAAAAAAAGGAAGAGAAAGTGAAACCCACATTGCAGTTTTTGTTAATCTAATAAATAATCCTAATGCTCAGTGACTCATTGATTGAATTTAAAGCCTTTATCAGAACAAGATAAAATGTTATTTTGAGTTGAAAAATTACTGGGATATTAATCATCTCAGGAAATGTTTTTTCTTTTGAACCCACCCCCACCTACAACACACACACACACACACACACACACACGAACATGCACAAACAAACGGTAACGTGAATTTTATACAAAGGAATCGGTTTTCTTTGCAGTAGGGAAATAAGTCATGCGCTGTCTGTGGCCCAAAAAAAGGAAGGGGGGGATGCATTGTGATGCAGGCTGTCACTAGGAGGCTGTTCCAAATGGACTGTTAATGGAATGTGGTCTAAAAGCATACTGTTAGGAAAGCTTGGCCTAGGAGCAACATTAACACAGCAGGAAGGAAGTAGGGAGACCAGAGGGATCTGATAATATGTCAGGTTAGATGCAGTAAACCACAGTTAGGCTGTCAAGTTGCATTGATTGGGCTGGTCTAAGTATAGGGAACTGAACAACATCTTTTTTATTACGAATTGATGTGGTCTTCAGGAGGAGAAAGTCTCTCTCTGGAGGTACCTGTTAACTCTGGATTGAGGACACTTAATAGTTGATGTAAATTAAAATATAATGGAAGACAAAACAGAAAGTGAAGGGAGGGGAATACCAACAAAATACCATGAAAATCAGTTTTGACGTGTGGTTGCACCTCATCACATTCCAAATTTTTCACAATGAACATTATTATTGCACATGGGTTTTTGTTTTCCCCTTTTTTTTAATGATCAGTGGTAAAGAGGTGAATTTTGAAAAGAGAGAGGGCAAATCTACTAATATTCCCTTTCTTTAAGCCAAAATCAATTTGCAAGCTAGTAGTTGGAAGCTGGCTGTGCCACCTCCTCAGTTGAATACCAGTCACTGGTGGCAAGCTCTCCCCAGTTGTGGTATACCTACACAAGCCTGGCAAGTACATTTCATTATAAATGACAAATGCAATTTGTTGGGGTTGGAAATAATGCAGGATAATTTGAAGCTTTTACCTCCTACAGGATTCAAAACATCAGAGAAAAACATGTTTTCCCTCCTTGTAGTGCCTACAGATGCAAATTTAAAAATCGAGAAAAGAGAGAGCACATACCTCCATCAAGGGAACTCAGTTCTTATTGGTAAATTATTTAGATCACTACCCAAATCTACTTGATTATGAGATTTCTGACCAATCCCTAAAATTTATCAAAATCCATTACCATGTTTTGAGTTACTGTAGGTGGTTAAGAAAAAACTGAAGGAGGAAGAAGCATAGCCTCTTTGCTGGAGAGCTTATAGGCCCTGTGACAGCCATTAGCGTTATCCTAGGACTGCGTTCCCAATCGGCTCTCGATCTATGTAAAAGAATTTTAATCTAGCTGTGTGACCCACAGGATAAACAGAAATTGTGGTCAGCTGTTTCAGCCAAGTTGCAGTAGTAGATACTATTTCGGTGAACCATTTTCTGTGATCTATGAGGTCAAACACATACACTGATTAATGCGTCTAAATTAAATGTTGTTTCTCAGTCTGTGTACTGTAACCAGTACTAGTATTTCTTTTTACCAAGATTGCTATAATGCAGTACATGTATTAGTCTAAGCTGATATGAAAATTACCTCATAGATCTACGTTTAGCACAGATGCCCATCGGTGTAATGTCTAAGTAACAAAATTACAAAATTCTCCAATCTGTTATGTGATATTGAGTTACGTTACTTAGAGGATTCCTGAAACGTAAAAGCCCAGTTCTTAGACAGTAGTATGTCATACTAGTACATACTTGGATCTATCATATTACTGTGCACAGATGAATTGAGAGTTTGATCAGTAAGCAGATTATAAAATTTTAAAATTGCATGATTATAAGTGTTTGTTCACAAAAAGTATGAAATAATTTCCAGACATTATATATATATATATATACACACACACACACACACACACACACGTAGCTGATGAAAAAACTTGTCACCTAAAAAAAAAAAACAATCAGCCCAATGAAATTATCGTTCTATGTAGATGAATACAACCAGATGAACAGATAAACATGCCCTGCAGAATTGGTTCGATCTGTGTAGAAGGATACTAGTAGTTTCATTAGGAATGAGACCTAAAAGATATGCCAGAGAAGTGAGTCTTTTCACATAGCAGACATATGATCAGCTGGTTATTTTGGTCCACTTGGATGCCTAATGAATAATTTGGATCAGGTAAATAGGTTAGGGTTTTTTTGTGTGTGTGCACTTGGATGGGGTAGGAATGTTTGAGATATGTACCATTGCTTTATTAGTAAAACAGGAAAACCCCTTCTGGATCATAGTTATACTTGAATTGCTATATTAAACTGAGCAATGATTGCTATATTATTTCCAGGAATTCTTTTTTCTTGGAATGGTCTCTGATTTAGAAGATTTATAGCTGAAAGATAAAATATCATTGGAATGATCATATCAGTGTTATGCCAGACAAATGATAGGCAATCAGATTGATGGATATATATTGCTGCTAAGACTTGTCTTCCTAAAGGTTAAAAAGGTTAATACAGCAGCATGTTCATCATATCTGATGTAGTAAGTTGGGAATATTCAGCATTTGGAGGTGACAGGTCCATTCAGATGTGGTGAACAAGAGCGGATACCTGGTTGAAGGGATTCCAAAATGGCAGTCACAGTTTTGGGCAGTGACTCCTGATTGCTCAGCTGGAACCATTTTTGGAATATTATGGGATGCACTGTGTATGCATTTACTTGAGGATATATGTTGAAGGCTTTTGAGCTTTCTTATGAAATTTCCACCAGTTGCTGAAAAAGAAATTTTACTTTTGAAGAAAATCCACTTTCAACTCTGTTTTCAGCTAAAGAAAAACGTATATGTATATATCTGAATATAAATCCCTGTGTATATTTTCACTACAATTAACGTGTGTTATTCTAAGCAATAGCTCCTATCAGTAAGTCATTCTAGAATATCAGAAATTGTGCAGAAAGTGTGTAAGTGATTTAGGTGCACCTGATTTTAGTATATTATAGATATACCGAGGTGTACGTGAGTGGTCCAGTTATATATAAATACTCATATATCCTGATTTATTACCACTTCTGTTGCAATGGAACACACGCCAAAGTACTCCCATGTCTGTAAAAACTAGATAGCATGCTGGGTGATTCATTCACTTTGCTCGATAAAATACACGGAAAGCCTGGAGAAACTGATTTGAAAATGTTGTACTTGTCAGTTCGCAGAGTGTGCATTGTACTGACTTCATCAATTTCACTTTGTTGAATACGCACAAGAAGTGAAAGCACAGCAATTTGCATGAAAAACAAATGGTGTTTTTGAAAATTGGATGGCAGCAGATAATGTTTTTCTAATCAAACTTGTTTGACATTTTGAACAAACAAGCTAGAGGAGGTGATATGTATTGGTTGTAAATTACTATACATGTGTGGATTGACAATGTGGATTACATCAGGAAAACAGTGATTCTTGCGGTTTGTATGGTTTCTGTTTACTGTCGCATTCTATTCCACCCTTGCATATGAAGTTGTTATTTAATGGTGAAGATGATTTACTTCCACTATAGAAATTGTGTAAAAATCAATAACTTATTGCCACTGTATCATCTTTTTTTTGCTTTAAAGTGAAATTTAAATAATTAACACAGTATATTCTCTATACCCTTGGTTATGATCATCAGTGTATCAAAACAATGCCATCAACAACAACAACATACAGCTGCAGTGAATATTACACTGAATAACTATTGATTCTTCCCCCTGTTCCATAAAATGCGAATTTGTGATATCCACAAGCAGGGCACATCTTGGTAACTCACAGGCCATGCCTGTGCATATGTATTGACCTCAATTGATGTAATGTTCCTTGTTCACATTTGTATGCATGATGATGATGATGTTGGAGGTGATTATAACACAGAGTATTAGAGTGTGGCGTGAGGATGTTATGGCTGATGGTTAATATTGTCTGTGCTTAGAGAAGATAAGTGTTGAAGTGATAGACTGCCTATGGAGATGTAGTACATATTGAACCCCTAGGGAGTGGAGAGTTATGGCTGGGTGGGGCTGTTGGGAATGAGAGCCAGTATGAGGGTGGTCTGTCAAAATTACCAAGTCAAGTAATTAATACATTTGAGAAATATATTTTGTAGGGTGCTGCATAACTGAACAACAAATATATGTACAGATTTAACTAAAATCATTAATAAAGCCATTTTAATATTCATAATTTATAATTCAAATATCAACATTTTAATGTGAAACTTGTGGAAGGACCAAAACATTTTCGCAAGCCAGTAATAACAGAGCACTTTTTGGTGTGTGTTTTAGGTTGCAGTGATCCGGCAGACCCTGAGGAAGGAGCTAGGACTGAAGATAGTGGAAGTGGACAATGACAAAGCAACAATAGATGGAGGAGATGTGTTATGGACAGGTGAGAGTCTACTGGATGTCCCATCTTGTCCTATTTGTGTTATTTTTGAAACTTCTGGGCCTGGAAAACTGAAATGATAAGACAGACACAACTGAAACAAGGGGCATATATGCTAATTAATAACAAAATTAAAAAAAAAAATCCTGATAATAATCCCAGAAACAACTGAGGCAGTGTTATAGACACATCTTAAACAAAAACATGTGCTCTTATAACAAAATTACTAGTACAATGTTATGTATGTACAGCAGACACTGTAGTACAGGCACATGTATATCTAAAAAAAAAAAAAGACATTTTTGGCATAATAACTTAGATACACTTGACACAGTGGCATTGGCACTTCCTAGACAAAAGAATAGGTGCATCTTGTATCTTCAGACTTGCTGGCTGTTAGTGAACCAATTGCTCTGCTGTTGCCCAATATATTACTTTATAGCCTTCCGCAAGGTTTTTACAGGCATTACAAGTGCAGCCTGCACAACTGTTGTTGGCTGTCTCTTAGATTGGTATGGACAGTGTGGGGGATGGGGATGGGAAAGACATCTGCCTATGGTATGAATATACTGAATATCAAAGAGTTCAACTCAGGCAAAATACATTTTTAACTGATATGTTATTTGAGATAGCAGTCATTATTGTTAAAAATGCTGTATATGGAACAGCACATTGGTAAATTAACTCAATTTTAATGTCACGCCAGATGCTTAAAATGTTCTGTTTGAGAAAAGAATGTGATGGCCACTGTTTTAACTTTCCAGATTTGTTTTAACTTAAAAGTTTTGAGATAGTGAAGTAAAGTGGCCAACTTTATAAAAAGAAAGTTTCATTGGGTAAAAAAAGGGAAAGAATTCTGTCAGAGAGATGCTGATACATTTTAAGACAAATTCTGTGACAGTTAAGGTGCTGCTACATTAATATATATTTAGGACCAATAATGAAGCTTAAGCAAAGGGAGATTTATATTTTCTTTTCACTGTTTCTCTCCAGGCAAGGAAATTGTTGTCCAGTTATATGAAACTGGCTTACAGAGAATGCTCAGGCTGTGGTCAAGGGGTTTCAACAATTTTCAACATGGCTTGATTATAGGAATCGATGTAATCAGCTTGATCGTCTGACACGCTGCCTTTGCAACTTAAAGTACTTGGGTAAAGTCAGGGGGGGTGGGGTTGTTTGTGGTCAATGATGCTGCCTTTGTGAAGGAGCATGTCAGACAATTAAGCTTCTTACATTGACTGCGCCTTAGTGAGAATTCACCCCGAGATAGATTGATCCTGCTGGACCGATAACTTTTAATCTTAAAGCAGCCATAATGTTTACCTTTTGTCCTAATATCCTTTTCCAGGCAAGGAGATCGTGGTTGGTCTTTCTGGCAGAACCAACCAAGAGGGTGCCCAGGCCATAGCCAAAGCTTTCCCAGAGTATGCCACCTGCATGGTGCGTGTGGAGGGGGCTCTCCACCTGAAGAGCCTCATGAGCATGGCAGGGCCAGAGCTTATTGCAGTTAGCAGGTCCCCAGCTGCACAGAAAGTACTGAAGGTGATCACTTTTTTATAGCCCAAGATGGTTGTTTGTTTTCAATGCATGAAAAAGAATGAGAGATTAAGAGTGGCGAGTTGTGTCGAGTTGGAAGGTTTTGGTAAGTGGTAAAAATTACTTCCAGACCAACCAACCCAACCCTTCAGTTCTAAAATGAAAAAAAGATGGGGTATTGTGTTGTATGTTCATTATGAATCTGTTCTTTGAAATTATCAGTAGTTACCATTGTCACATTAAAAAAATCAATTTCCAGATTATCTCAGAATTATTAATCGTTCGGTAAAAAAGCAATATTTATTACAATGTAAGAGAAGTTTAGAGTTAACAAGTCCATAAATAAGTTGTATGTGTTACAGAGAGTTCAGGAGCAGGTGACTTACTCCTACATGATCCTGACTGTGGAGGAGGAGGAGGCCGCCAACATGCTGTACGCCAACGGAATGCGTGTCCACCTTCCTGACACGACCATCCCCAAGAGTTTTCCTGTGAGTTCAACTGCAGGTTTGAAATCGTTGAACAGAGCTTGTTCTAGCAATGGCATTTTGAGTTTTAGCATCAATGGAAACCTTTTTGGATACTTTGAGAAGTTTGGTGGTTGTTGACTCACAATTTTGTTCCTTGTTTTGTATGTTCATACTGCATATTTTGATCAAATCTGTTAAATTGTCAGTTGTAGTTTCAGTTACAAGAATATCTGATAATTACATTGCTGTTTTGCTGAAAAATACTGAATTAAGATCCAGTTTTATGAAAGAAAGGTTCCTGATTGAAGTTTTCTGATGCAGATAGAATGAGCTCTGTTAAACCATGGAATTAGCCTGCAACCATTTTGGTCTCTGTAACAAGTGCTTAAATATAACATTGTGTTAGTTGTGACCCTGAATATTGTGCTTGTTGAGATGTACCAGGGAGCTTCCTTATTACAGTCATTTCTCGTGGTTGTTGATAAATATTCTCATCTTTGCTGACTGTTTTTCATCTTTGCATATGTAAACATGTTTGCCATATGATAAGCTGTTTGTAGTAACTTATTAAGTCTTTAATTGCTTTGCTACCTCAAAATGCTTTATATGGTGTAATGAATTTTTTATATTGAAATTTTTTGTTATTTCATAGTGTACTATGTATATGTGTAGTCTATATTGTATATAATTGTTGTGATTATACATGTGGGTGCTACTTGCTTGTGCTATGAGTCTGCTTTTACTTACTATCATTTGCTTGGTGTAGGGGCCTTGCTGCTTGTGGCTTTTTGTGAGGTGTAGATTAAACAAAAACCAAATTCAAATTCGTAATTGGATGATTGATGTTCTCAAAATAAATAATAACATTTTAATGATGAAGAAAGATCCACCCCCAGTCCATATTTTAAATGCAGTTTTGGTGTGTGAACAACAACAAGTTCTTTCCAGCCACCTCCTCATCTGGAGTTTGTCTAGAAATGTGGAAAAAATGGACCCTATGTAAAAACTAGCTACCCTTCATTTTCCCATGTCCATAGAAAATTGATGACAGCCCTGCCCTTGTATGTTTTCATTGGTAATGTTTAATTGACACTGATTTGAAATTTGTTACATTTTCAATATAGGAATGAGAAAAGCTAACTAAAAAATAACTAAGATAGCTGTAATAAATGATTTTAGAAAATTTTGATGGACAATTTATTGAATGAAAACCGCCAAATGATCCTATTAGCCACATGTAATTGCAAAATTTGGATAACTTGGTGTTGCGTCTTGAATCAAGTAGTATTTGTTCCCAGTTGCCAAGTCACAGAGATGGCCATGGCATGTTAGAAGTCAGGTTTTGCATGTAATACAGCTGTTACCAGACCTCTCCCCCCCACCACACACACACACACACACACACACACACACATTGGCAGAGAATGGTTAACCAATCCATGCCTTTATCAATTTCAGATTGTGTATTTAATTATTGATTGACAAAAAAGTATCCATTCAGACTTGGCAGCTTGGGTTGTGTTAATTCCACATTTTTCAAAAATTAAAAATCAGTAATGAAAAATCAACACAGAAAGATGAGAGAAAACAAATAGCAAGGCTCCATTCAGTACCATGATAGATAATTGACAGCTTCTTTCCAAACAAGTATCTTATTTCTTATGCCCTCCAAACCCTGGCAGCAACACAAGCATAGGTGGCAGCACATGTTTACCCATCTAGCATGGTCCTTTCATGCTTCAATTTTTGCAGATTCTTGAACACAAAATAGATAACCGCATGGTGTGCGACATAAGTGAAATAGGGAAAGCAGACGGCAGTTTGACCTGTCTCAGTATTTTAATCACAAGAATGAAGAATCCCAAATCTTTTCAAACCAGCGTTCAAGAATAGCATTACTGGTGCTAGTTGGCTCTTTGTTGTAACTTAAAAGGTATGCTATGTGATGTCGATTGACCAGGAAGAAACTGTTACTTAACCAAATAGTAAAAAAAAAATACTTCACTTCTCTTTTATATTGATGATTAATTTTTTTTATCATTTAATTTTTTATTTTTAAACATTTTAATTATTATTTGCGTTACCTGTATGAGAGTAAAAAAGAGATATAGCCAGTTCAGGAGGGTAGTACCTTGTTGAATGTATTGTGTGTTAATGTACCAATGCGTATGTGTTAACAGCATCTCTGTGTTCTCTTCAGTGCTTTTGTCAGATGCCCTCTCTGGGGAATTTATATGTGGGAGGGTGCTGAACCAGCAGAAATCAAAACTAATTATCTACACACATTTATTGCAATTTTTGTTTCTATTTTAATTTCATGGAGGCTTCTGAAGTCAACTTTTAAATGCATATCATTCTCCCATTTCACCTTTAGCAGAAATGGTCACTTGAGGCAATTCTAAAATTTTCAGAAAGACCCTTGTAAGCCACCCTTGCACACAGTACCATGCCTCTGTGCTTTTTCCTCTTGTGCTGCATCTGTATCTTCAGTTTATTTTACTCCTCAGGGATGTATTAATTTCACTTGTTGAAATTACAGTGTTACTTTCAAAAAGATTGCATGTATGAAGAAACAACAACTGCTATTGTCTACATTCCCATTCTTCAACCCAGCTTTATCCCATTGCAGCACCTGTCAAGAAACTTACATAAATTTAATGTGTATTGTGTAGTCGATGTTGTGGTAAATAATGGTTTCCTGAACATACTGGTTAGGAAAAATAAGACAGACATACAGATTACAAAGTCTCTTGCTGATCTAGCTCTTTTCCCTCTGTTGTCAGTGTTGTTGGCTGATCCTGAGGCACTAAGCTGTCTTGCAGTTAAGACTGATTGACTCAGTCAATATTGTTACTGTTTTCAAGCAAAGTCATGACATATTCGATAAAATGATTGCAGGAAAATTATTCATCACATGCTTACAGTAGATAAAGTACTTGCTCCAGTTTAGTAGTTTAGATCTGTAAAAACTAATGCACGTTTTTAGTATCCAAATATACCTATCACATTTACTGTAGATTTAAACCCATGTTTTTCTTTGGCAGTATGTTAACATAGCAGTACATATACTTGCTTGTTTTAGTGTGTTTGTCTGTGCCCATTCTTTCCAGAGTCTTGAGGCCAAGTTTGATCCCGAGCACCACACTGTTTCTGACATTAGCGAGATGCAGAAAGCTGATGGTTACTTGACTGGTCTCTGCATCTTAGTCAATAAACAAAAGAATCCCAAACATTTTGCATCTACACAGACCTAAGTATCCATGTATGTTATTTATCCAGATATTTTACCATCATCATCAACCCCTGTTGTCTGGTCAAGGCTGATCGTATGATGTCATTCTCTTAATTTTTTTTCCATCTTAAACTCTTATAAGAATTATTTACATTCTTCCAGATCTCCATCGAATATTTTTTGAACTGCAAAATTACTCTATGAATGTTTTATTTTTTATATGTTCTAAGTTATTGGGAGTGCCAATAATCGTGTATTTATTTTCTGGCATGTTATCGGGCAGACACCATCAAGCACTTGCAAGCCGTTCTCAAGGCTGTTCTGCACTTCTTGTCTTGAGTTACTTTTCAGGTTTTCAATGCTTTGAGGGCAGTGTGACAGCTGACATGTCTTTTATTTTGTTTGTGTGAACATTTGTGTGTGTGTGAGTGGAATGAGTTCTTGGATATCAGTATGTGGTAAAGAGTGCACTAAAGAAGAGTTTTGGAAGTGATGAATTTGTGTGGTATAGTGTTGAACGTGTGCCATTTCATTAGCATGCTTTTTATTTGGTTTTTGGACGAGTGTTTTGGTATAGGAAGTAAGCAGTGTGTTGTGCAATGGAAATCTTGATTTAACCTGTTTTTAATCGAAATTAATGGGTTGCTTTTTTTATTTAAACAACTATTTAAAGCTTTGAAATGTGGGTTGACTTGCTTGCTTTGGTCAATTTTTGAGCGTAATTATTTTATGGTGAAAGGAATTTTCCCCCGAGTATGATTTATTTTGGGCCATAACTATTTTGGTTGAATAACCCGCTGGTAACCATTTTCTTTTTTTCTTCTATTTAATGTTCCCCCCCCCCCCTCCACCCACTCCACATATGTAATGTTCCATATTTGACTGTAGTAAATTATTTAGACCTTCAAGTTATGTTATTTGTAATATTTAGGTCTTTGGAAGTCTTGATGAATTAATTTGATATATTAATATAGTATTTAATATAACTTTATAAGATTTAGACAGCAGTTCTTCAAAGTTTTTTGTTTTAATTTACGAAAATCTATTTTACATTTATCAGCATATTCAACTTCATGAACAAGAGTTTTTTCTTACAACACTATTTTTTCTTTTCCCTTTCCATAAAGATTATCGAGAATAAGCTAGATTTCCAGAACCGCTACGCGCAGGATATCTCGGAGCTTCAGAAGGCTGATGGCGACCTCACCTCCATGTCGATCTTGATTCAGAAGGTAAAACATCCTAAAAACTTCAGCAGTGGAGTCAGCGACGAGGACCTGGGCGACTTCCCTGTTGTCACTTTGTAAACAACAACAATAACCAAACAAGGAGTTCTACATCTTCATAAAAGTGTTTTTATAGGGTTGGAAATCCTAGCTTATTTAGAGCATTTATAGATGGAATACATATGGTGTCTTTGTATGTAGTAATAACTCTGACCTCTCATTTTTTTGTTTATTCTTTACAGTAAATTGTATTGTTATTATTTTCATTTTTGCCATGCTGTTAGCTGTGCTACCTAGATTTAGATATAAAGTGCGTAAGTTGTTAGAGATAGCATAAGTCGTGGAAACTCCTGTATATGGCTTGGTCTACAATATATCTGTAGTTGTAAGCATGCTAATCCATCAGTGTCTGTTACATTACATTATATATATATGGAAAAAATAGGCAGTTTGTAGACTGGCAATGCAGAGCAGGCCTTATTTGCAGTCGTTTTTCAATGGAGGATGTTGTTTGTTGGTTGGTTGACTGTGCTAAAGCATTTGATGTCTATCATGTCATACATCAATTTTCATTCCTTTCCCTTGTTTTCTTATCTTGCTTGTCTGCTACACTTGCAGAATGTAAGACTAACATATCTTTTTACTGCCAGTGTTTCATTACACAATATCTCCAAAGAAAAGTTATGCAGGTCGATGCAAAATTTTGATAATTAGTCTTTAAAAGTATTTAAATTTAGATTTGTTAAGAAACAGAAATTTGTTTTGAAAGGTTTTTTTTTAACTAGGGTTGAATAGGTTATATTTTACAAGTACTTATACTTTTGAAGCAAGACTAGAACAACGTGTACTACTGTCATGGTTATTTGCTTGAGAACAATTTTCGGAGGCATGAAAGACATTGTTTTAGTTTTTACATGGTTCAGATGCAAAGTAAAAAGCAAAGAAATAAAAATAATGGGTTCATTAAGAAATTAACAACATAAGGAAGATGATAGCCTGTGACATTTTAATGTGACATTTTAACTCGTTAGTCCCAAAGATAACTCCATCTCTGAGATATTATTCTATTCATACGTCAGGTAGCCATTCAATATTGTGTAATATTGCAATGTATCTCTGTTTTGTGAATTACATAGTACATGTTTTGTAAATGTATATTGTGCAGCAAACCAATATTTATATTATAAGCTTTAAATTTTGTACTATGGAAATTACGTTAACTGACAATTTAAAAACGCGCTTGTGGCAAATAATATGTTGGAATTCATCACAATGTCATTGGAATGTAAATGTTATTGAAACTTCTTTTTACTGGCTAACAGCTATGAAATTTATTGTATCGCCTATGAACGTTTCGCCTCTGAACGATAAAAGATGTTGTCAAATGCTCCATGTCGCTAAGATGCCCTGGGTCTAATATATGGCATGTAAAAACCAACAATTTGATTAGTAAAAGCAGACAGTATGTGTATAAGCCTTTATGTTGATCGGTCAGATTTAAACTTGTCAAAAATATCAGTTTCTCAACGCATGCTTCCCATCCTACACGTAAAAATTCACTGAAGGACATTATCCATAGAAAATGACACTGCATTCACAACACCCATGTCATTTATTGATACGAGTTCTTTTTTTGGGCAAATGTATCCCGATAAGTGGTAAGATGAAAATTCAATTATCTGAAAAATACGGTTGTGATTAGCAGGTCTTCACGTTCTTTGGTATGCGCAGTAGAAACAAAACGCACGATCTAGACTATCAAAAGTATCAAATTATTGTGGAATTTTTAAAGTTCATTTTTATTTTATCGACTTATTTTGCCACAACTCTACGAGATAAATACATTGTTCAGCATATGTAATGTGATAGGTATACCGTAAGTAGTCAAATTATGTGTTAGAAGAACTGAAAAACAGTCATTGTCGGGAAGCGACTTCTGCAGTTAAGGATTGCCAGTGTGACAAGAATGGTAGTCCCAGGAATGAAATTTGGGGGTCCCCAAGTGATAAGCACAAGTTAGGGTTAGAAACGGCGTGAAAATGTGGGTCGAGTGTCACCCGTACAAAGTAAAGGGCAACGGACTACGGTTCCTAGCGGACTACCTACACTGTACCATTCCTGTCGCACCTGTTTTCAATGGCGGCATAGTGAAAAACTAAAACCCGTGTGCTGCAAAGTTCCTATAGTCCTACATACCTCCATACCTAGTAGTTTTAGATGAACCCAAGTAGGCGTCGTTCCGTTGCAGTCGTGACGGTTGTATTGTACTTTTTTGCAGTGCGATATTTGTACTTTATCACTTCATTGTATGCAACATATTCGAATAAAATTTGTCAGCTGCTTAAAGTTGTGATTTGTCGTTATCACTTTGTATTACCATTGAAGGACTTCTCATTTATTGACCGTGATCAATCCCACGGATCTATACCTCGGGATTCTGAAATGCAGTGTTAAAAAGAATCCAGTAAATAAACGACAAATGCGTAAATACAAGGTCATACCATCCGAACAACTAACAGTTCAGATTTTAAGCTTTCTCACTTGTTATATTGCGTCGTACGTACGTTAAAGTTTTATGTCAAAGTTTACAATTCCGTGATAGTTAAATCACAGGTTCTTTAAGCGATTTTGTCGTGCTTCTTGGCCTTCAGTACTATACAGCATCACCTCGGCTGTAGAACCATGATATTGATTAAGTTAAGACAACTATCAGCTCAAAAATAATCAACGCATGTCAATTATATTTGCCATAATCCGTACATATGATAGTGTTAACACTTCGCGATTCGAAAGTTATTTTGAATGGCCTATTCACACCGTCTTGGTAAGGTCTAGCAATAGATATTTTCATAAGTAACTAATGTAGAAAGGACTGCGTCACCTGTCTATTATTTTATTAGTTGGCACCAGTTCAAACCTTCATACAATACTAGTAACACTAGTATCGAAACTGGGATTTTTTCTTATTGATTATGACAATCATTAAATAAGCATGTGTGCGCTGTATTGGTGAATGAATACTGCTTACTTAGGCGTTAACCTGAGTTACGATAAACCACTTTACTCAAGCTAAGTGCGAAGTGAAAAGCACATATAAGGGTGTTAAATTGGCATTAATCGCGTTCATCAAAAAACTAGGCAGTGAGAGGGTTCGAATCATTATCTCGGGGAGCTGATCATTGTATTTGTTCTTCGATACCACGTACTTGTCGCATGTCGATACAGCAAAGAAAACAACGGCCCCTCATCGCAAGGCTTCTTGCCCTAAACATTCCAAGACCGGAAGAAAGTGTTTGGGGAAAATAGCTGATCGTGACACAACAAAACATGGCTAAGAGGCATTCAGTATCAGTGCATTTGGAGGATCATTCTACAGTGCACTTAATGACATGGTCGTCGTGAAATAGACACCTGCTTCTTAACCTCTGAAATCCGCGTTTGCTTGATGACAGTGCTTGCGATGGGGAGGCCTCAACTTCCGCCAGTTAAGTGCGAGCAGAGGACAATACATCATATAGGCAATTAAGACATTAGCGGAAGAACATTCACCTGAAGTGGCATGGCCGAGACAAAGTATGACGCATTCCTCCACTACTGCGAGGAAGACGAGGATTTGGTGATCGACGTGTTGGAATATTTAGAAAGGGACGGTATCACGTGTGTGTTCAGAAAACGGGATTTCATACCGGGGATGTCAGAATTACAAAATATTGAACGTGCAATTATGAATTCCAAAAAAATGGTCGTCTTTGTTTCTAAAAACTTTCTAACCTCTCAGCTATACACGATGACTGTTTACACCGTGCTGGGAACTAGAGGTGAATCATGGGAATGGATAATTCCTGTTATTTTGAACATAAAAATAAAGGATTTGCCAATCTCACTCAAATCATTTACTTATCTCCGTTTTACGCATGAAGATTTCCATGGACGTTTGGCGACTCTAATCCGCGACAAAACAAAGTTGCCGTCGCTTAGAGAGGTAGAGTTGGCTGGTAAGACCTCACTAGTTTTCGCGCCAACAATGTTCCTGGTTCCGGGAATTTCCGTGACCTTTCAACGCAAAGAGCACGCTCTCATCTTGAAAATATATGATGAAGGAAGTAAGTTGCTAGCTCAAAGAGAAAGGATTAAATTGAACAATTTGGTGGAAAAGACGACACAATGGCTGAACGCTCCCGCGGCTGCATTCCCAAAATTAGCTAAACCAGATGTTCAGTTTTATTTGATATATCTTCAAATTGAAGATAGTTTATACCACGATGAAATTGAAAAAGCAAAAATGCTGCTGGACACAATGGACGGTATAATACCTCACACATCTGACCGGAATTATTTCGAGATAAGTAAAATGATTCCCGCTTTACATTATACCGTAAGAGCAACTCCCTATTTGAAAGAAGATTTCGTGAATTCTGCTTTGAGAGCAGTGCGAGTTTCTGAGCAGTTACTTAAAGGAAGAACGGCTGGTTGGATAAATATGTGCGTAGGTTTATACAGAGCACGTAAACTGTGGGAGACAGACCAAAGTGAGAACCCAGAGACTTTCAAAATACTCGAAGATGAGTGTCACAATTGTTTTAACCACGCTCTAGAAGACTTTTCCGCCGAGGAGGGCATTGACGGTCCCCACGGGTATAATAACACGTCCATTCGCAAAGCGCTTCTCCATCTTAGCTGTGACAGTGTAACAATGCGGAATATTCCAAGTAGTTTTGAGGACATAAAAGCGGCGGAGAATCTTCTCCATAAGGTTGAAAATTCAGATTATGGCGTTCCAGGCCTTTTGGAACCTTACTACAAATTGGCGCTGAGTGATCTTTGCTACAGGCAACGAAGGTACGAACGTTCACGACAATATGCTCATGCCGCACAAGACATCGCTCACAGAAATAAAATGACAGAGCTTGAAGCCAGAGCAAAGAAGAGATTGGAACATTTGCAGCAGTTCTGTGGAGCTTCTGAGAGTGATGAACTGAACGATATATTAAAAGGTACGAATTATTATTAACGAATATGTAGGCATACTTTTAAACTGGTCTAATTTGAATTAAGTATTAAGTATTACACGATTAACTAAACACCCGAACGTCTAGAGTAGGTTATTTACGCCTTTGATTTAAACGCATGACAAGTACTGAAAGTGAAAATGATAAACAAGAGGCAACTGAAAATCCTATTCTGATTTCAGTGAAAAAAAAAAGAAAAAAAAAGAAAAAATACACATCATCCATAAGAATAGGCCTATATCTAGCATGTTCAGTTATATGTTTGCTCACATTTTGATATTGTATCACGTCATTGATAATAGGGGTGTAGATCTAGCGTTCTGGTTTGCAAACAGAAGAAGTATTTGCTGTGTAATTTTTTTTGTCTATTTTATAAAAAAACTTGGGCTTTTGCATACGTAAAAGATGGGATAACTATATATCCTAAAACAAAACACAACACCTGTCTAATTTACAGTCTCACCATATGAATAAGTATATTTTGTACAAAACGGTAGTGAGCAAATTAATGTCAAACACATTTAGAGAATCATTGTAATATTAGCGGTAAGCATCAGTAACTAAGATAGTTCATGCCAGTAGGCCTAGATCTAACTAATAGACTGGTTTCAGGGTAGAACCGCTGCCATGACGGTGAGCAAAGAACTGGTAGCCAGAGCAACTACGCAGAGCCTTGTGGGAAGTAGTGCGCCTCCGGATCCTGTGACTAGGTCCACAGGCTTCACTCCACCTGAAATTTTAATGGCGGGAAAATGGAATCACACACTGGACAATGACCATTCTTTTCAATACCCCGATTCTCAGGCTAATATTTGCAAATGACGAAATTATTTTTAAGATCTAAATGTTTTTAAATATTTAATGTTGAATAAGAAGGTATGGCCTACAAGGGTATGAATGCACAAAAAACCTCCAATACAGATAGGGCCTAATTGCCACCGTTTGGTATACATACATCTCAGAACAGTCAAAACGGTCAGTGGTTGATGTAAAATGTGTGCAATAAAAGCGTATGTATCATACTCACACCTTGCCCTCAACTAGACGACCAGATGACAAAAGAACTCCTGATGGACATTTTTATTTTAAATCTAGTTTTTAGCTATCTTACACTTTGATATTATTGGAAAAACTACTTTCCGTTCCAGTTAGTCCGGTAGTGAGGACAGAAACCCTTAAACCCCTAGCCAACCGTTCGTTTTCGTAAGCTAACGTAGAGAATAATGTTCCTTCCACCCTGAAACTGACAGAGCACCCTCATGGATTGTGTGCTTTGGCGTGATATTTAACTTTGCCCACGATGCTAGGTTTTCTTCAGTGTATAATCTTATCACTCACCTTTAGACTGCCATATCTCTTTGTCGGACATTTCAAATATGAGAGTTCTTTCTCCATTCTCTTCGTGAGACACTGCGATGTGACTCTCAATAGTGCCGTCTGTAAATGAAGATATCATTTATCATTTCAGAAAAGAAATTGAAAAATGATATGCACCAAGAATAAAGCAGTGTTTTTTCTTCATTAGCAGCTAGTATTGAAACTCCAATATTTAGATGTCTAGCCAGCGCACCTTCACCAGGGAATGAAGCTATCTAAGTTATTGAAAAAATGGTAGTAAATTATGTGACGAAGTTGTTGTCTTTATGTTTTGCTGTTACTCTGTTATAATCTTTCATTTTATTTATCAACTACTTTCCAGTTGGTTCCCGCGCCCCTTTCTTTCCATTTTTATCTCTACCTCAGGCAATCTCTAGCGGCTTTCTCTCTGTTTACATTACACGCAGTTGTATAACCTACCATAAGAGCATGTCAAACAACCCATCTACTCTACAAAACACCCCCGCTCCTCATTCACTCGTGGCTGTCAACTACTAACATAACATAAAGAACAATTTCAATACTAGCTGATGATTGAGGAAAAAAACTGCATTATCTATCGTTGTTTTATATGTATCATTGCTGGCTTAAGGCGTGTTTATAGAGTAGAGGACTTTGGCGCAAAAGTGGTCTTTTCTACAGAGTTAAATTGGTGAAATGTCTCCCGAAGATCAAATTTTGGGTCTCTTATTTTTAAAGGATGCTCTGCAGTCAGGTTGAGACTGCCAAGGTTGAGATTTCAAAATTCTCTCGTCAGTCAGCTTCTTCAAGTAAGTAGTAACTGATAACCTGTTGTATCACGATGTCACCTTCCCGACCTCCAGTTGTATCAAATGCTACATGAACATATTGAGTAAATAATGTCTAAATCTATTAATACAGGTTCAGACTTTCAATATTTAGACCCCATAATTCTCACGCTAGCTTCTTAAAGCCATGCTGCATTAAGTGGCTGATCATTTGGCTGGTTTGTAATTTATGAGAGATAGTGCTCGCTCTCCGATGTAACTGCGTTAGATATTATTACGAAAACTGGTGTGACAAAACGTTTCATTGAAGTACTTACTGATGACCTGTTGTATCACGATGTCACCTTCTCGGTCCCCAGATGCTTTGAATGCCACATGACCCTATAGTCAAAATAATGTGTTAAAGGAAATCAGCCAGGGTAAACGCTAGTTCTCGAATTTTAATTTGTAGATCCAGCACTCCAGCATTACTATACAAAACTCGATAAAATGACATCGCTAATCTTTGATTGTTCTCTAGTGCTGAATCGATATAACAGGAATCCGTTATATTGGCCAGCTAATACACATTTATGCACTTTAAGATCAACTTGACATCCGTTTGAGAAAAATCGACGTTTTGCCACAAGATATGACATAATTAGACTTGGAGGAAGATTTTTTTACGTCAGGTGGGTTCGATAAAACATAAATGCCGATATAACTCTCAAAAGTGACTCTTGGCAAAATAGCTTGTTGTTAGCTGCAGCTGTTCAGGTGAGAGAGATCTATCTGAAAGCTATATTAAAGTTTTACCCAAAAACGCTGCTCTCACGTCATCAGCTAAAATTAGCAAATTCACCCTGATCTACTTTTGATGTGCCAGCATTATCTCAAATTGTGACAATGTTCATTCCCACGAACTTAAAAGAAAAAAGTCCTATACCGTATCAAACCGCCTTAAAACCCACACACAGGCGTCACCAGTATGCATCAGAGCATTAAGAAAACCGTCGCCTTACCGTTGACAAGCGTATGATACCGGCAGTATATAAAAGATACCATGAGCACAGTGTTCAACTTACCGACAGACCAGTAAACTTCATTTTCTTCATCTCACTGCTGATAATCTCGGAGGCACCGCGGCCGTACAGCCGTTCCATTTTGGTCCCGGGATTCCCTGGTAACGCTGGCAGAGAATTATTCAAAGCCAACGCTATGGACCATATTGCGTCGTAACTCTGCGTCAGGATGGCGTCACGGAAACCGAAAGGTGTGCTGGACCTTATGTCGTCTACAAATGCCTTTGCATCCTATAACAGTAAAATGTCGTAATATATGTTTCATTCATTATACATGTACTATCCATTATATTCAAACTGTACTAAAAGGTATATTGGACACGCTTATAAATTCCCCAAAGTCATGTTTTTAACGTCTATATATCCTGCAAAGCCAGTAATTTTTCCCCACTTCAGACCTTAAAAATTACATAACCTCTCAAATAAAATAAAAGTACTGGCACTGACGTTGTTAGTTCCTTCTGAAATGAAGAGAAAGACATGGCGTTCTAAATAACTGGCTATTTAGTAAGTACTAAACCATTAGATTAAAATGGATTAAAACATCGAATACGAGTGCAGGGACGGGTCGAGCAATGGTATGCGAGTAGGTAAAATTGCGTTTGATGTGTCAGGTGAGAAGCGACATGTTGCACTGAATATGGCTATGCGCATTGTTTCAACTCTGGATTTTGAAATGAAAAACGCATATTGGTCGAAACTGGTAGATCTATGTGGAGCCTACACCGTACAATATTTATTCATTTATTTACTTTATTTACTATTTTAAAACTTTTTAACTTAAAGGCACATGTTAGCCAGACTGATGTCAATCATGTAAATAGTCGTCGAAGAGAAAACTATCACAATTACCCGTCCCGACACCGTGTCTTTCAACTCTGGTTCTGCATCCAGATCGAGAAGATCCTGCACCCACAGGTGAACATCGCCTTCCATGCTGGACACCACTTCCTGCGCCGTGCAGTCACTCGGGACATCCCCGCGGCCGTAGAACTCCCACATGTTCAAGACAGGACTGGGCGCTTTTATCCAAAGATATTTTGAGCCGTACATCCCCTTTTTGAATGCCTGGGAATTAAAAAAGCCTATGGTGGTTTAAAATTCGAATTAAAACAGTATGGGGTATTCTACTGTATAAGGTTTTAAGGGGTAACAACTGTTCGTATGAGATTCATACTTCACAATAAAAACATCGTAAAGAACTCATATAATAGGCCTATATTCCATTTTACCACAAAAACAGCGGTAATCGCAATTATTCTGGAATCTGTGCTTGTCATCAAACCATGTGGACCTTCGTAGATGTTTATGCCTCCGTAATAATCTCTTAAGAATATTCTCTTGGGATATTATCACAAAAAATCCCTTTTTGTCAAAACGAACACTTGTTATTCCTTTAAGTAATTTTTAAAAACTATTTTACAGTACAAAACCGAATAAGAAGGCCTATTATGCCACAATTTTTAAAGACGACGTTAGCTCACTCTAAGTTTAATCAAAATGTTTTTTGAATCAAATTACCTACCTCACACATGATAAATTTGTACTTTGATTGAAAGGTAGAAACAAAGATGACTTTGATTTCGGTTGCCTGAAAGCGAAAACAAGCAAATACACAAACATTTCCCAGATTTTAATATTACCTTGCAGCATTATTATTGCTTTGGGTTGTTTCTAAATCAGATTATGATCCAAAATAATCCAAAAATCAATACATTAACTGATTTGCATTATTCATCTCATGTAGGCCCTAAATTACATCTAAAACATTTTGTGTTAAATTAGGTGTTTATAAATTAATGCAATGCATTATAAAGTAGCCTAAATTGAGAAAAACACAATGATGCCGTCAAACATTTATGGGGCATTACGAATACCCATTGTTCTCAGAGCACGAATGACTAGATACCTGTATTTTGAAAATCAAAATGTTCTCGCTGAAAACCATTCATCATTAAAATAATGCTATCACATGTCATGTACATGTAACTGGCGGTGTTTCTTAATTACCAATATTTCTGAAAGCGCGGCAGCGGGGTCGCTGTCACTGTAGGTGGCCACAGTCCCCACGTTCACGCCTGCCTTCTTTAAATCAGCGTTCACGGCGTCTGCGAGCTGAAATGGATAAGTCAATGGCATTTTTAAGTAGAAATGACAAGTTTCTTGATATCATGATGTTTTTTTCAGAAGTCAGACTGTAAAAGATGCAATTTTTGACACAAAAAAATTCTATAGGTGTTTTGCCGTTAAATGTATCTTTATATGCGGTCTATCCCACACTGAAAAATCGGACTTATAAATCGCGTCATCTTTGATTCTGACGACCATCCATAGGCCTATATCTAGTAGGTATTCCACGTTCCAACATATTATTATTGGCATTCCCAAGAAAAAGAGACTGAAGAAACGTAAATCAAATGACATTTAAAGAAACGTTAATCAAATAACAATAATTTTCAAGCTATGTATGTGCACCAGCCGATCTAGTCGGCTTCTGACGGACAAGCTACGC